TGAGCACATGTTCTAGGAACTTTTCTGCTTAAAATGAACAAATCTATTGGTGGGTTTACGCAATCATTGTCATTAGTTTACTAATCTCAGGGTGGTTTCGTTGGTTAACAACGCGCAATATACCTTTGCTTCTTTTGGCTATTTTGTAATGATTTTTTATAGTGAAATTATGATAATGATTGTATAAACCCACCATTAAACATATTAACGTATGTCATGAAACACCCTGTATGTATAAATATCTCGAAATTTTAGAACTGTATTTATTGGCAACCAAGCATTCTGGAGCAGAGGGGCATATAATAATACAAAGTCCACTCTCCTAAGGAAATTGTTTTAAAATTTTCTGCAAAATTGAGCTAGCCGGCAGCATAACTTTCTGTTTATAAACCCAAGTAATATATTAAAATTAGTAGTAGAGGCAGACGTCTAAAACCTAGAAAAAAAGCGCCCAACGTGAGGCCCAATATCGATTCGACATTCCTAGTGTTTCTTCATACTTTTCCTTGTAATTTTTGTATCATTACTGACATTTTCCAATATGGCTATTGAAATTAATCGCTTGAAAGATACCGAACCGACATTTAGTACTTTGCTTTCTTGCCACCTCATTATGAAGTAGATTTGATGGGTGGGCGTATACACTATACAGGTACCAACGGAAAAACTGGACATCTATTTGCTATAATGTAAGAGTGGTTCTCACGATTGAAAAATCCTGATGAAGGAAAGCAGTTCGAATAATTCAGGCCATCGAAATTCGCACGTCACGATGTTTCAATGAAATGCCCTGAACCTCGCCAATACATTGCTATAAGTGTGGCACTACTGCCGTGGCCGTGAAATTGTGCCCTTTTTGATCGGCAAACGGATTCATAAGAAATCATTATCGTCGTGATTCTTCTTTGGCTCTTCAGGCGACTCTAATCTTTCACAACTTGTTGTTAAACCCAAACTAGGTCTTTTGAGCCAACATTTAAATAATGATGTAAGACATGCTGAAGTACAAAATTCAAGATCTTTGTGCTAAATTCTTCATTTAAGACTTGTTAGTCAAATTACTTCATGTACCGTACCGAATAACACTGAAACCCAGTCTAACGGTTACGTTATAGCTCCAATTATCGGATCGGACTACAGTTTTAAATTTGTTAGTTATACCTGATCTGGGTACTAACTTACTTCTTGGAATTTTTTGTAATAAAATGGGTCTAAACATAGATGATAACTGTCGGTATTTCATTAAAACTCCTCTTATTCCGAATGCTGCTATTGTGTCTTTCTTTAAAGGCTCTTTCAAATCGAAAATTTGAAGCCATGGGGTATTCTTTAGAATGAACTACTGTGGGAAAACACGAGATTCGTCTTATAGATGGAGCTGTACCGATCGAACAACGTTATTACCCTCCGAGCCCTATTAAACAAACAATTCTGAACACTGACATAGACAAGACGATCCAGGAGGGAGTCATCGAACCTTCCAACAGTGAATGGGCCTCATCAAAAACAAAACTCACATATTTTGCGTTAATTACCACAAATTAAATTCTAGGACTCAGAAAGATGCTCTTCCCTTATCATAATCTCGAGTATTTTAGAGCAGTTACGAGATGCACTAATCTTGACAACCTTACGCTGCACTTACCGTGTCTGGTCGAGGACTTTTCCAATTCAGACGAATGCCTTTGGGGTTAACTTGCGCACCTGGTGCCTTCAAGAGGATTTTTGATAATGTTTCCTCGCTCGGAATTAAACTACTTGGGTATGTGCCTATGGGTTACACCCAGACCCAGGCAAAATTAAAACGTTTGTGGACGCTTTTTTGGAACCTGTATAGTTTAGTTGGTATAGAAGGTTCATTGTTTCACCTTTAACTAGACTTCTTAAAGAAGATATTATATAGTCTGGCAGATTTCAGTAAAAATTGCGCATTAGATGAAGAAAACATGAAACTCAGGTATTGATTAGGGTATAGTCCTGATGATTTTAAGATCGGGAGGCCTACAAAAAGTTATCAAAAAACAAAATGGCGGCCGTTCAAAGATTA